GTGGCTCCTTCTCTGTTTCCTTATCTTATTTTGAGACTACCTACTGTGCTATCTTATCACTCTTTCTAATCCTGCAAAACTCTGCAACTTGACCCCTCCACAGAAAGAGCTGACCTGCTTAGACCTCCCTGCTCTCTACTTTCCCTTCCTCACAAAGCAAGTTGCTCCTTCCCTTGTTGCTTCAGGACTGCTTTTTCACTGCCTGTCTTACCCCCTCGCTCCTCCTCTTCCTAGCCCATTACATGGCATTACATTTCTTAGCTGAATGTACATTCAGCTGTGTGGCCTCCTTGGTGTATGCTTAATTTCTCACTGTCCAGCCTGCCCTTTGATGTCTGCTGAGGAAGGATACATCTTCTTTTCCATCTCTTCACATGTGCCTATTAATTACTCTCTTCAGAGAGACTGTTTACTGACTATCACTCTGTTTACAGTTGAATACAGCTAAACATTTGGTCTTCTCAGTTCCTCCTCTTCTACACCACCCACCCAGTTTCTTCCCAATTGTTGCAAAATAGATGACTCCAAATCACTTTATAAAGTCACAAATGCAACGTACTTACATTCCCACACCCAGCCCCCTGCTCTCAACATACAGAGAAGTAAAGAAAGACTTTATATTGGCATTTTTGTCTCCAGTTCTCTAACAAAAAAGAAGCATCAAGGCTTAACAATTTGACCTTTCTATTGCACATATTCCTACCTTGGGTACTGTAGAAAACCCAGAAAGGTCTGTGAGCATCAGACTACTGACCTGTGAAGAAGTAACACAAACTCAGTATGAAGTACAGAATTTTGCCTGCTGAAAAGAGAATGGCTTTCCTGTGTGTAAACTGTGTGTATGTCTTTGTGGGATCAAGGGCCCTTGGGCAGAGGGAATTTTAGTAGGCTAGTGGGGGATAAAAAATACTCTAGCAAATGTGTAAAAGAGAAGAATTATATAGTTCTAATGCAGCAATTCAGATCTAAGATGAAAATTCCTTCATATGTCCTTCTCATTCCATGTGGAGCTTAAAATATTACAAAATAATATTAAATAAATTTTAAACAAATGTGGGCTAAATTATGTTTTTTTCCGATTAACAGATCATTGTCAATCTTCTGCCTTAGAACAGGAAGCAGATAGAGACCTCAAAGAGTTCAGGAACTGATTTATGACAAGGTGTATGAAGCTTACTGAGTGTGAGCATGAGCAGGAAAGACTGAGGCGAAGGCTGTGTCAGTAAGAGGGTCGTGCACTTGCACAGTTCAATACCTCAAACAATTTCATTTGCGTTTTGGCGTGGCGGCCTTGTCTGTACAATTAGAGATGGCTGCGTTTCCCATGGGTAAGGTTGCCTGATGCTTTTCCAATTTCAGCTTCTATTTTTAGTGCCTATTACTTTACAGATTTTAACCACGGGAACAAGTTTCCCATCCCGAGGATTTGGCCTGAAATCTTTTAAGATTTTCAGCAAAAATAATCCAGCCTTTCCAATAATTGGATTAAGAGGAACTGCTGTTTTCTGTATATTCCTTTTTTGTTACTATTACTGAGGAATTTTACTGCCCGTAAATTTACTGCTCACGGCTTAGAATGCTAACAGAGCCTGGTATGTGTCTGCAGGTTCTTGTGTCAGGAATGTTCCTTCTTTTCATTGAAAATTGCCTAAAAAAGCTACTGGTTTAATAAGCATCCGTTCAGTATAGGCTTATTAGATTTGGGTTGAATGAGACTTCCCATGTAATTAGTCCTTCCAGCCCTCAAGGTGAGTGTAATGCTGCATGCCGGAACTAAGAAGGACTCGCTCTCTGTTCTCCTGTCCCCATGGCTCTCTTCCACATGCTGAGGAGGAAGAGTCAGCTGCTGCTTTACCTAAATGAGGTAACCCCAACACTGGGCCTGGAAGGAACAGAAACCAGCCTGCATCAGGCTGGAAGGGGAGAGAAGGACCCCACCTAGAGCTGTGAGCCTGAAGGGACCAAGCCTCTAGGGTGGGCAAGGGGCCAGGCAAGAAGTGGCACAGGTAAGGGAGGCAGAAGTATCTCTGACACTGACCTGGGGATGCTGAAAGGGACTTAGCATTGTTGAATTGTTGTAAACCTGCATCACACTAATCAATCCATTAATTAATTAGCAGAGGCATATACCTGGAAATTAAAAGTTTTAAGCTTGCTTATAACCAATACAGTTGGGCAACCGTATCTCATGCAACAGAAACTGGGGGTGGGCTGGGGTGGGGCAGGGCCAAGGGAGGAAGGAGGTCCCGGAAGCCCTGTGGAAGCACACACAGACAGCTGAGCTGACATCGCCTTCCAGGCGAAAAGTCCTCGGTTACAGAAGGAGCAGAATTGGGCAGTGTGTGGCTGTGGTTACTTTTCAGCAGTTACCCTGGGGATGCGAAATAGCCACACCAGAAAAACAGACAGCGAACCTTAACAGACACGTGACATTTTTTATTTCATTCACACTCTTGATGATACTGATACTCCTGTAAATGCAGAATCTGTGTTTATATCCAAAAAACTTTATAATGAGAGCTTTATTGACACATTCGTTCTACTTCTATGTAACAGGATAATGATGGCCAGCTGGCTACAGATAATGGCAGCCACTAATTTATATTGGGTTACTACCTTCGTGTTCTGTAGTCATTTTTTTTTAAATTTATCTTTAGCATTCTTGCCTTCTTGTACTTGCATTTTACAGTGCTCACACTTACTATTCTTGCATGCTAGGAAAGGAATGAGCATTTTAAAAGCTTTATGTTAAATTACACTTTCAGCTATTAATTAGTCACGTAAACAAATGGACATTTTAATTAAATGTTACCCTTTTAAAAGGGTAAACTGGAAGCAGAGCCCATCGACTTAAAACTGATATTGCATGCATTTATCTTAATTACTCAGGTAGCTTTAGGGATTAATGTACTTTAGCTGTTATGTTCATAATCAGATACATTAGCATTTGTCTTTGTAGCATACAGAAGATCAGTTAAGATGTGAGCGCTCTTCTGCTAGGTACTGTACAAACAGAGCTTCAAGTGGATCTGCAAGACTGACTTCCCTTCTTAGTCACCTCTAAAAGAAAATCTTGCGATACCCTCCTCAGCTTCCGCAGGTGTGAGCTCACCGTTCTGATGACAATTCAAAACATGATCCAAAAATTTCCCCTACTTTTATCATTTTATATTATAGGAGATTTGTCTCCGGGAGAACGAGTTTTCAGTATTTTGAGATGGGGTTTTTCATTCTAGCACATGGAGGTTCTAGTCTGCATGAATGAGGCTGATACAGTAAATCTCAAGCCCACAAATGCCCCAAAGAACTCTGATTTTGAAAGCAGTTATTTCAGCAGTCAGAGAAAATCATTTGGGAGTCTGGAGCACCTAATCTGGTTATGGAGCAAACAGTTGCCTATTTGGTGTCTTTCCAACAAACACACAAACTAGGGCTAGTGATTAATTCTGCTTCTGTGACAAGCTGATGCTTCTGATACTGTTCATGTCTGCTCGTTTATGGGTGCTGGGCAGTAAAATGCAGCATGATACTCTGCTCCTCAGACATCTTGTTCTACAGATGAGTTTATAACCTCCTGTTTGGAGAGCTTATTTTTATGATTGCTGCAGACTCATTCATGTTCATCAAATTTCTTTAGGTGTATTTGAATAGAAAAGACTAACCTTCTAAATTCCACCCGGATTTTTTCCTTTTTGCATCCTGGAGAGAGAGGATTTGCATTTAATACAACATTGTGTGTCAGAACTTCCATGAGCATAAGGAACCACTTAATTTACTTGTATATAAATAAGCAATCTAGCAAACTAGTAAATCAGACTGTTCTGGCATTTCCAAGAGTCCTCCTTAGCCATGAAAATACAGTGAAGGGGGCCAGAAAAAGCCTCAGCACGGAAGTAAGCGAGTAGGGCCAAAAATCCATGTTACCAAGTTAGCAAGACACTGTTGTGTTCATTTTGTACAAGAGTTTAATGTCATGTCCATTTACTTTGAATAATTTCCTAAGAACATGTGCTGGGGAAGGCACCGGGGCACCTCTGCCAAGACACACTTACATGGCTGCATCTCGCCTCCTGTACTTGGCCAGACCACATCAGGGATTTGCCTGTGGTGAAAGTGCCGGCATATTAGAAAAACCCGCTTGTATACGCACGCTGACAGTCTTTGACAAGGTGACCTGGATCTCAACACAATCATTGGCTTTTCTAAGGTGACAAAGGACAGTATCAGGAGTTGGAAACAGCCGTACACAGCAGCCGTGCTGACTGACATGCCACAGGCAGTTAAACATACCTATAAAGTATCTCCATTTGCTTTTGTCTTTCATGTGCTTTTCCCAGTGATATTTATTTAGAGAAGAGCTGAAAAATCTCAAGCTTCTACCAACTCTCTGCCTGTTACTTGAGGTTTTTGGCTTGAACAGTTGTGGACTAGGAACTGCATGAAGATTTCACCACTGTGTGTATGCCTTGGACACCATACACTTCCATTTTCTTTTGTTTCCACTCACAGGAAGAAAAATAGTAGAAAATGTGAAAATTTTGATGTCAAGCTCAAGCTACAGACTTCCACTCCCTCCCCTTTTTTCATAAAAGCTATGTAGATGCATCACTCAATTCAGAAGTAACTCAGAACCGAACTCCAGTGCGCAAAAGGGGCTTCGATCTTAGAAACCCATGTTAAGGTCAGGCAAAGTCAAGGAACAAGGTGTAGCAGGAGGCATCTGCCTGCGGGGTCGGCTTCTGCTCCCAGTTTGCTCTCTGCCTGCGCAATCCCCTTTCTGCGCAGCAGCAAGCGCAGGCTGGGGGCTGCTCCTCCCCTGCTCGCTGGGTTTCTGCATTGCCTTCACAGGGAGTAGCAACCCCGCTTCTCGTGCCTGCACCTTCTGCTGTGCACACTGAGAAGGCACGGCAGGCTTTACTGGGATAAAGGCGGAGGCTGTTTTTGCCGGTGTGTTTCAAGCAACACGTTACCTATGAGGAGAAATTTAAAAAACTCACTGATTTACCATGTTAAAAAAAGATGGCACATTTATTGCTACATAAATGTTATATACATAGTGTTTTCTGTTACATTGACAGAAATGTTTTTGAACTTCTTGCTGCTGGTTGGAAAGGTTTATCAGCAATACCTTGAAATTTGACACAGGGTACAAATCTGCAATAAACCAACAATGGAAACTGGAGAACAAGATGAGAAGCAATTCATCTCGGACAATTAGCTCTTACAATACTCCATAGGTACTACACGGTATGCTAGAACCCTACTATGGTCTTACAATGCTATTGTAAATTTCTGATATTAATGAACAGGTTATGGTAAATAACCCTACATTTTTACTACCTAATATAGTAAAATAAAGTAAGAAACTTTTTACTGAAAACTTTTTCGATTTCAAAAATCTAGAAAGAGTAATATTTAGAATTCAAGAAATTTTCTTACAAGATTATTGTATAAAAGACTAGCTACAGTGAAAAATAAGCCAAATGTTTTTTTCTTTCTATTTTATGAAGGAAAGCTTCTGGGCATACTGCAAAGTCTAATATAGCCAAAAAGACAACAAGCTTAGAAGGAAAAAGGCCAGGCAGTGGCACGTGATCACTTTCACACGTCATAAGCAACAAATTTGTTTAGCTGATAAACACTGAAATGAAGAACAAGGCCACAGATATAATCAGGTATTATTTGATGATATATGCAAATTAAAGCAATAGAAATGAGTCCACTAATTCCACAAACTGTTTTGTTAGGAACCATCCAAAACATGAGCTTAAATTCATTAGTTTATTTCAACAATCCATCTTTTGTTCTTCCAAATTAAATGACTTCATAAAAATTACTGGTTTGTTCCTGTCTTCTGTGTGAACCAATTGCCAGTGATGAAAGATGCCCTATACAAACAATAGCTCAGACAACCTTGGCTTCGGAAATTTCCTCCCATGGCCATTGCAGTGGAAGACAGTTTCCATGGAGGTTCAAAGGGGCTGTAACCATTCCAACGCATCTGTGACAAAGGAATACTTGGGGACACTGTTCTGGTGGAGAAACATTTAAAAGTTTAATGCTAAGATGGCTTGGGAGGGAGGGCATTTGCTTGCATTTCATTCTCACTGGTTTTTTTCTCCACTGACAAGCCATACCAAAATGACAAGATAATTAATGTATACAGTAAGGAAAAACTGGTGACCATTGCTCTTATATCCCATTACGTAAGGAAGCCCACCTTGCTGGTGGTTATATCATCACACTACCTGCCACGGTGAATTTAGGATTTTACTATTCACCATAATTACAGCCTGAAAAAAAATCTCCTTTGTATTTTAATGCATTTTGTGCTTACGTACAGCTAACACTTTACATGTACTATATGTAGTACTTACTGCTCGGAAAACAAAGCAACTCTAACAAAGTAGATTCTCCCCACCCAATTTACACTTCACGTTACAAGCTTTACTATGAAGCCTAGAAGCCTAAAAAGGTTTTGTTTATAATTAGGAAAAAAAAAAAAAAAAAAGGAAGAAAAAAAACATTTGAGGAAAGTCTGAGGGAAAATAAAAATCACTTTTTAAATCCAAGAAACGTTATGGTCACAGTATCGCTCCTGCCTGCAGCCTTCACGAGGCCTCTTACTGGCTTGAAGCACGGAGCTCCGTATGGAAGGGGCCCTATGACCATAACTGTCCAGATTACCAGAGACCAAAAAAGAACATTAAAAAAAAAAAGCTCTAAGAAGGAATAGTTTCCTATTGCATGGAAAACACTAGTCATATGGCAAAAGGAGAGGAAAGGACAACAAAAGACTTTTCCCTTCCTTTTTTAAGACACTAATAGGTATGCTGGGAATGCTACGGGTCGACGGTTGTCACTGCTTTGTTCTCTGAATGTGAACAGCTTTAGTAAATGCTGGCATCCAGCTGAAATTTTATCAGCTTTTAACATGTTAACTTTTCCCTTTATATGTAGACCTTTACAGTTCCATAACAATAAATAAAATTTGTAGTTACAATGCATTTGTCAATTCAGTTTAGGCACAAGGCAACTTCCACAATGAGTGGAGAGATCACAACAGTCTCTGATTGTGCAGAAGCGACACACTGCTTGCAACAGAATGATATGTTCAGAGCATTTCATGGGCTGAAATTCTATCTGAAGATCTCGTATCTTCAATTCTGATGCAGGTGTTGACCAGTAGCTTTGATCATAAGATTGCATTTGGGTTTCTTGCTTCAAGTGTTTTCTCCTGTCAGGTTTGTGTCTTCATATAATGTTAGTTGTCTGTGTCCTTGTGAAGAAAGGTCACCTTCTGTGTATCCTACCAATAATTCTGGAATTCTAGAAAGAGATTTGGGAGAAGGAAGGGGTATTAGGAAAAGAATTAATAAGAAGCATAACAGCAACACTAGATGACTAATTTAAACTCTATCTTATGGCATTTTCAGTCAGCTAAGTGCAAAAGAAAATCACACCGACAGGCATTGACGTCCTTCTTCCCAGAGATATCCATAACAAATACGAGATATGGAACAGTTTCCTCTCAGGAACATGCTATTTGGGCTCTCTGGATACGGGAGAAAGAATAATCCGCAAATCTCAGACCTTTGATTTGTGTTTGACTTTGTTCTCTAAAATAAGCAGGAGACGGTACCTAATTTAATGGCTGTTGCTGGAGGTACACGTTGGCCATATACCTCATGAGCCTGTACAGCCTTTTCACATCAGTGTTGCCCTTTAGTCATCTTACAAAGTCACTGCTGTTAAAAAGGCAAAGATGTACAGTAAAATTTTGGAAGTAGTTCCTTGTATTAACATGGCAAGAACAGACTATAAAGCCTGCTGTAAATCAAGAATTATCTGACAATTTGGAAGTAGCCTATTGCTCTGGTATGAAATAAAACAAATTAAACAAACTCAAAGCACCTTGTTTTCTTACAAAGAAAATCCATTTCATTTATGAAGAAGGAAGCTGCCTGTAAGGGACAGGGGGAAAGTGCTAACTGGAACAGGGCTTGGTTTAACTGCCATACTGCTGCTCTCTAAGGCCCCTGGGGAATAATACATTGCCATGGGATGTGTTCTGGCAAGATGGATGCCTTTACCTTAAGCTAGAATAGAAGCAAACAGTCTATATACACAACAGCAACAGACCTGCCCAAACATACGATTTAGTAAAGTTTCAGATTAAAGTAAGGGCATTGAACCCAATCTCTTACTCTTTTTGAAAGTGGCAACAGTTCTATTTTGAAAGATACAGAATACCTAGATTTTTTTTCTTCTCAAAATCAAGTTTTTCCCATTATTTAAAAAACCCACCCACCAACAACACGTAATAAACCCAAAAAGACTAATATTCCTGTAAGGCCTCCCCCGTCAGCACGTTTTAAACGAACTATTACATACTGGGGCTTTTGGCAACACTGACTTTATCTTGCAAAGCTGAAAACCTTACTTTTTAAATCTCAACTATCTCCACTAATACAGCTTATGAATTAAGATAGTTTGCAATCTCTGTCGGGCAAATGATATGAGCTAGAATGACTGGCCTTAAGCCAGACAGCAAATCTCTTTGAGATGAGAAGTCTCTCTAACTGGTTGTATCAGCACTAGGAAACAATACATGGATTTTTAAACAAACTAATGTGATATTCAGACCATTTAAAGATGTATAATTCATTTCTATTATGCTTGGCTTATCTAGCAAGCTGTTAACTATTCCTCTGATGTCATGCCAAGAAGGCCACCTGAGCCAAGAGATGTAGCACTGGCAACAACGCATGGAAATGGAGAGACTTTAATGACAATTTCTTGGGGGTTTGTTTTATTCTAAAACTAAACAAATCTGCATGCTTTTGCGTATGCTCAGAGATATGAAAGTACTTAGCAGCATAAAGGAGCTTGGTGCCAGCGGCAGCTGAGTAACTAGGAATAAACATATGTAGATCTCCCAAATTTGAGCCAATCAAAAGCAACACGAGCCATTCATTCCCCTCTGGAGAAGAGACGTACCTGGCTGGTGTTCACATATGACCCATAGGGTTGGTAGTTTCACTCAGGCCAGGGTGGCTTCCTGGGTGTGGTGTTGGCGGCTCTGCCGATACGGCAGAAACTTTTTCTTCTTCCCTTCTCTTAAGGCAGGCTGCTTTAGGGTTTAGGTTTCGTTCTGCAACAGAAAAGCAATTCTTAACATCCCAGACGCTGATACCAAGGGGAATAGAGATACATTAACCACTGCAGTAAAAATAGCTACATTGCTTCCCTCTACTACTTACCTCCCTGTGTTAGAATGTAGGTGTCTAAAACTGCAGACGAGCACTACTGAAAATCCTACCAGGCACCTCCTAATCTGGCATTTAAAAAAAAAACAAAACAAACCAAAGAAAAAAAAAAAGCCACCCAACTTTACTAGGTGCCTACATACACCTTCAAAACGCTTTTAAAAACTGCCTCCCTCGTCAGCAGAAGTTGCTAAAGTGCAAAATGAGAATTGTCTGTAATTTACAACATAATAAAACGGAGATTTCTGTGTTTTGGTGCTATGTGGAAGTCATACCAACTCTACTGCCATCGCACTAGTTCTAGCAACATTACTGCTTCTTCACCTCAAGTATGAGCCTGCTGTTAGGGGAGGTAGAATGTCCTGAGTTGATGGTTCTCTTCATACCCTCAAGTCTGTGAGATCATCTTGTGCCCATCTCAGTTAAATCGAAAGAATATGTCGAGAGTCACCCAGAGCCAAAGGACTGGGTTTTGTAAACCCTATTTCCTCTCACATTACAATGGCCAGTTGTGGACTAGCTATCAAGATACTGCCATCAGTGTGTTTCCAGCTTCAATAGATGTAGGTTTGCAGCTAGTTTCCAAATAATGACAGTTTCTAAAAGTCAACTGTTTCTGTTATTCAAAATGGCTTTTCACAAGTCAAAATATAAGAGATGTAAATCGCAATGGCCAGAAAGACACACAAAAGCTATGGAACAGATTCTACCAGATGCTACCAATTCTACAGGGCACATTAAATTTAATCAATGTTTTGAGGCATTTTTCTAGCTGCCAGTGAATTCTGGTTCGCAGTTTAAGATTGCAGATACAATTTTAACTGCAAGGAGACTGCCAAAATGGAACAGACAGCACAAGTCCTTCTCTCGCGCTGCACAGGTGCCCCTCTAGTAACTGCTGTTTGCTGACCCCCGTGCGTTTTACAAGGGGTAGAATCCAGCTAATCTGTCAGAGGTAATTTCAGACAGGTTCGTTAATTCTGCTTTCACCCAAGTCATTATCACCAGCCTCCTACTGCACGTCCTAAGGATCAGCACTCCCAAGAGTCTACTGGAAAAAAAAGCCTGCTAACTTTTTTTTTTAAATCAGTTTTCTTTATTTAAACGTTGCTTGCCTTTAAGTTTTAGAGACGATTTAATTATGTAGAAATTTTGAAAGGAAGTTAATTTACAGTGATTTTAGGAAACAGAGAGAAAAATGCAGTTAGAGCTTAAAATCTGAAATGTTTAGTTTTGAATAGCACCAATCACAAAATGAGAAGCTTCATTACCAGCAGAGAGAGGAAACTGTTTATGCAATTATATAATGCACTGGTGAAAGCTCCTCTGGGTGCCACACAAAGCTCTGGTCACTTGCTTTCAGGAACAGGTGCAAAGGAAGATGGGTGAGATAAAATGGGGAGCACAGCCTCGCCCTGGCAAGAGGCACAGTGTGCGTGCAATAGGCTTCCTCAAACACACGGAAAGCAGAAGGTGAGATATGAATGTGAGGAAGGAAAAGATCTCAACTCACACTGCCTGTAAAATAGCTCCAATTTAACTTGAGTACGTTTAGAAAAAAGATTTCTACCAGAGACACAAGGTTTAGCAGCAACCTCTGACCAAGGCAAAAGTGACTTTATTAATTTTCACACAGAGCTTTCTGTGGCTTGTACAGAATCTGTGAGAGCAGGCAGATGGGCTTGATGGGTTTTAAACATTAAAAACCACACTCAATTAACGTTATTCTGACTGCTTCATAATATTCAACCTTATCTTCCAGACTATGGCAAACATTTTTAGACCAAAACAATTCCCAAGATCAAAGTCTCAGAGATGCTAAAATAGGGCTTTACCATGGCACTAGTTGGTGTCCCACCTGCAGAGTAACTAGATGCTCTATACGCCCTGGAAGAACTGACGGGAGACAGACAGTGTGTTTCTTTAGTAAAAACTGGGGCAGTAAAACTCTGCCTGAAAACACAGCAGCTTATCCTCACCACAAAGTACATAAGCTTGTGCTCCCTTACTCACTTGGTCACTTCCAAGCAATTTTAAACAACTGCTTTGATCGCCTGTGCAAAACGCAAGCAACAAATTAGGAAATGGAAGTAAAACCAAGGTACACAAAAATAGAGCACTGACATCATTTAGTGACATCAGTGATTCAAAGATGTAGCGCATTAATATGACCACTGACATCATCCACATCTGAATGACTTTTCCAGTCACTTGATGCCCTTCCATCAGTGAGGCACCAAGGAAGGTGGTTACGCACTGGTCCAAAACTGCCAAACACGAGGATGCTCACCCATTTTAGTGCCAGCTACACAGAACAGACTAGACTAGATTGGTTGGAAGGGACCTACAACCATCACCTCGTCCAACTGCGTGGACAGCTCAGGGCTGGCCAAAAGTTAAAGCAAGGTGCCTCAGAACTTTAATGTGCCTTTTGACACAAGTTTAAAGGAAGACTAGAAGTCAACTGTAGCTTCACCAACACACGAGAACAGAACAGTTGAAGAAGTAAATATGATTCCTAGAACTAAGGAGTACCCGAGAGAGCGATGAACTAAACACAATTCCTAGGAGAGTGAACTGCAGAAAGAATTCTTCCTTCTGCACCTACCATTAGGCCTATTCTTTCTTTTCTGGAAAAATTTAAATGAATTGGGGAAAGTAAATACATACAAACCCAGCCCTGATTCAATTAAAGTAGTAGCAGGTTTCCTCCCTCCTTCCCAGTCTATGTTTAATGCAAACTTAAGTAAACACAGTTAAATTAACTGCATTTTAATATTTCAATTATGTGGGGTTCATCTTAAAATAGATCTCTTATTTTTGCTAAAGCTTCTGTACTACTAAATAAGTGCTTGGTACAATTTAAAGCAAGATGTGTCAGTATTTTGATTAATCAATTTACCCTGAAAACACAGGCAAAGAGATGGCTAATTGCACAGGAAAAAAACCCGGAAAGATCAAAGTATAAAGCTAATACCCTCCTTCTCCAACACCCTCTTTTTTAAAAATAAAAGTATTTCTTTGCTTTCCCTGAAGAACTCTGACATCGTTACAGAACAGCAAACCTACTTTTAGTAACTTGTGCATCTAGCGATGTGGATTTCAAGAGACCGACGCCATTCCACGAACAAAGCTACCATGCAAACTGCCACAGCACAGGGACGGGCTACTAACCTCTCACTTGCTGCTCTAGACTGAGGATGACTGCCACAGCCTGGTGAAGAATAAGCAGTTTCGTCTGGGGTTTTTCACTCTTCAGATGAAGCTGACACATACGGCCAAGTTCTTTAAATGCCTCATTAATATCTCGTACACGCAAACGCTCTCTAGCGTTATTTGCCATTCTCCTTTCCTTTTCTCTTTCTATTTTCTGCTCTGGGTTTAAATCCTCATCTTCATTAGTACTGCTGCAAGAAAGTATAAATAAAAGCATACTGAAATATCACTGGTATTTCAAACAAGTGATCCTGCTGCTGGTTCAAAATTTTCAGTTGATGAAATTAAACTTGTTCCCACTTCATCTATTTCATAAGTTCATTTAGATAACTAAGAAAAGGTTAGATGTCAATGCTTAAGTATTCAAGGTAATTCTTGCTGTTCCTGCCTTTTCCTGCAAACAAATATTAAATGTTTTCTGCCCAAAGCATACCTGCAAAATATTGTCTACAGATGGTAAACAGCTCTAGGAAGAGGAGTGGCAACACGCTGCCCCTTGAAGCAGAGGATGTACCCAAACTACCACTTCACTCCATTACTGACAAATGTTCAGATAGTGAAGGGAACTCACCCACCTTGTTGGGTGAAGAATTAAATCATTTTCAACAAATAGTTTTTGCTACTTTCCAATATATCAGCTTATACAAAAAGGTATTCAAGTAATTTTCAATTTAATGTGCTTACTAAAGTTTTAAGTTTGTCAATGACCTTCCTGGTCTTTCTCCTAACACCCACTGTAGAGCTATGCAGTTACATTTAGAATTCTTGTATCACCTCAAATGATTATATTAAGTTGTACAGCCTTTTTTTTTTTTTAAATATAGGACTGTCCAACTAAGTCTAAAACTGTGCAAAACCTCTGCTCTATCAGAATACACTAAAATGCCTTTAGCCATGTGATGGTAGAGACTCCGCTGCCTGTGGTGGCAAAATTCTGATTGTTTACTATTATTTCAAATTTTGCCACTGGTGTCAGGCCTATCAAGCAGATCCAGAAGCATTTTACCTGGTGTCAACTCCAGGTTTTTTGTTTGTGGCTTTAAAAAGGATCTTTGTCTACTGGATTCACCCCAGCCTCCGGACTATCAGGCTGCTGCTCTCCATCACTACTGGCTCACATTTAGAAGCACGGCCCTGGCCCAGGTACCAAGTATCACAAAGTTCTAAAGAAATTTATCAAACTTAAGCACAACGTGCTACAGAGCATTAACAAAGAACGAATTCTCTAGGTCATGTTAGCAACCCACCTTGTTCTGCCCCTAGATGAGACCTTGATATCCTTCTGGGAGGACTCATCATCTGATTTCATGTCATCCGATGAGGGGGGTTCATGTATATTTTCATCCTTCTCCTTATGTTCAGACTTGATTTCTGTTGGACCTATAGCCACAGACTGGCTCTGTAAGCCACCTGACAATGCTGCAAGCAACCAGAGATCAGTGTGAGTATCACAGAAGTGAAACATGTCAGAGAATTTCAAGCAGATACTGTGGATGGGAGGCCAGAGCTGAGCAGAAGTCTGGGAAGACAACAGGAGGAACTACGTTCTGGCAACAGAAACAAGAGAACTCCGGTAACACTGCTGTACTTGGACATGGGTCATGGGTTGTAAAGGGATCATAATCCACAGAGTAGCTTATCAGTAACAGCTTAATCTAAGAAAGACACTGTTAAAGACAAAAGGACATTTAGCAAAGTGAGGGAACTTGCACCTCATGCCTGGGCTGCAAATCTAGGGACAGAGCTAGACACGGGGGATCGGGCTTGGGCCAAATGTGCAACACACACATCCCTAAATGGTGCAAGCATGCTAACAAATAAGCTGACTTCTGTCTTCTATGGCTTACTTCTTTAGGCTAAAAACTGAGGGAACTGTAAACACTTGTGTGGAATGACTTCCTTTTTCCAGCTGGACTGAAATCTGGCCTCAGCTCACTCTGCAGCCCCCCTGGCTGATTTGGAAATGGCTGCAGTACTGCAAAGGGCATTATGGCTCCTTAAGCCGGAAGAATGCAGCTGTAATGCTGAAACCACACTGGGACACTGGGACATGTCTGACACAGGGATGCCCCCAAAACTGTTGCAGGAATCCCTAGCAGTGGTGGTTTATAGGATTTATAGTTAATTTTTCTTTCTCAACATTATCTATGTCTCTATCCCCTGTGCTGATGCAAGTTTACAAAGATCTGCAGCCTATCGGCTCTGGATTTTTGTGGACTTTGTTTGGCATTTAATATTGCTGAAAAGTTACCTCTGTAGCTTTCTTGTGTTTTATGATTTAGTTCTGTGCTCTGAGCAGAAACTGTACTGGGCAGAACTGAATGGCTGCTGTTGAGGCTGACACTTTCTTCCCGATGAGTCCCAACCTAAAGCAAAGCAAAGCAAACATTTCTATTAAACATGTGATTCAAGGAAACAGTCCAAAAACAGAAGTTTAAAAGACTTGAAGCATTTCCTGGATTAGAGACCTGAATTAAAGTTCTAGCTCAGTAAAGGAAAGATTTAGTTGAAAGATGCTGTTACACTATACCACTCAATGACACCATACTGGATTAAGCTGTGTTTCAAGTAGTGACCAATACCTGTTTGGAAAAACGCAGCAACACAGGATTATTTTTTTTTTCCAATATTTTCCCATAAAACACTACAGAATTTTCTCCTCAATTTATACCTGAAGGGTATAAGATTTAATTGCCCTTCAGTTGCTTTAAACTAATACAACTATCAACTCTAGTACTTGTAACGTTTAAAGACAGTAATGGGGAATAATGGTCTTCACCTCATGTGAAAGGTGTGTATACTGCACTACACTCATGTATACAGATACATAGACACAAATATTCATAAAAAATATAAATAACATCTCATTTATCATCGGCTGAAGCAGGATTAAGAACGAACTAGGGCTAATATAAAAATATTATTTTATTCACTTTAATAATTCTCTCTCATCTTCCTCCTTTCTCAGCTAAATAAATTTAGTTCAGTCCAATCACAGAATCTGATCATATGAAAATAATCCAGGCATCTAACTATTCTTACCACCTCTCTCAGTATTTTCTAATCTGCTCCTTCATAATACATCATGATTAAATTTCTAAGCAGCAAATGCTGAAATGAAGAGTCTTAAAAACCCTCTAATTTTGCAAAAACTTGAATTAAGCATACTTATGTAAGATAGCTATAGCAAATTTGTTAAAAAAAACTGCTACTCAATACAGAATACTGTTACCAGTGCAAACCTCTATTAAAAAAAGAATATTCTTTTGTTTGAGAAAGGAAGAGGTAAAGACACACTGCCTGTACTTAAATAACTTGGAACGCAGACCATTTAAAGTTTTTGATTCCTAAAGACACAGAAGTCCTTTAAATATTTATAATATAACCAGCATAATACAATTGGACAGTTAAAAAACTGAACAAAGGTGAGGGATTCTACTATTATTTGTATAGTTACAAAAACTGGCTACAGATGAAGCTTTTTATTGGAACAGTAGCAAACATGTCAACTAGAAGATTAAGCCTTTAATTAAATAGGTTTATTGCCTGGAGTTACACATGAGAACCACTGTTTTTCAATAAATCCTTCAATCCTAGTAAACTGCTGAGCTTTGAATCCCTCTCGAGTAATTAATGCAGCTTTTACCTTTCATGTCTTACTATGGGTTTTACCCAGAGAGGGATAAATACCCTTATGCAAGTTTATCCTTTGTTTAATATACACTCGTTCCTCTAAGCTAACACACAGGAACAAGAAAGGAAAAGGGGGGAGAACAGGACCCAGTCGTCGTCGTCGTCCCCCCCCCC